ACACACACACACACACATATATGTATGTATGCAATCCTACAATAAATATTTGTTAGACTCTGAGAAGAGTTACCTATATTTAACCTCCTACACCATATGGCTATATGACAGACTTAGTTTAAAAAAAATTTTGTCAAGTGTTCATGTTCAAATATTATCTCAACAGCTGGTAGGTCTGGTAAGTAGAATAATCTGCAATTTCATTCATTCCTTCTCATTCATTTATTTAATTATAAGGCAAGATTTGGAAAGGTTTCCTCAAAGTATAATTAATACACAACAGAATTACATCAAACTCCTAAATTTAAGGTCCTTTACCCACGATCTATAGATGCCTTAAAAGTGAAGTGTTTTTACTTGTGTGTTATTCTAAGAAGAATCCACAGCCATTGCTCAGAAAAGTTTAAGAACTACTACCCTATTCTAGTCCAGTATGAGAATATCTTATTCATATCAACCAATAGGAATTAAGAAATAATATTTACATGCAACTGTCAGAACAGAATGGTTCAAAAGAGCCACAAACTTTTTCATCAGCCTTTATATATTGTCTACTCTAGAGCAGGGAGAGGATCACAGGTGGGGCTGAATGACACAGGAAAGGAAGAAAACCTCTGCTGGCTCCTGACAAGTCATAGTAGCAAGATCAATCATTTGGCATCAGTGAAAAAAGGGCTCAAATCCTGTCTTCTCTACCGGCTCACTGTGCAACCTTATTAACCTAACAAGTCTGGATATGAATTAAGCTAGGAATCATATAATCTCCACCTTATAAAGATAGGGGTAAAAAAAAAAGATAAGGGTAAAGATCAATTGGAATACTATGTAGAAAACACCTGAAGTTCAGTTCAGTACCTGGCCCAGAGTAGGTACTCAAATGGATAGCAACACCAATATTAAGATGGTATACTATAATAAATCCCATGCATAAACAGTTGTCAACCATTAATGATGGAATCTAAGTGGAACTCTGGATAAACATTTACACAAACAAGAAATTAAACAAAGTCAGAATTGCAAAAAATCTTTTCCAGTTCTAATTTGAAAGAAAACTCAGGTGCTCAAAGATGCTGCTGCAACTCGCTCAGTTATTTGGGTGGTCACTTGTAGCTGGATCGAGATCTTTTGGCAACCTAGCCACCAATCCTTATGTCACTGCCTAAGAATATTGTAGTTGTAGGTATATTTTTCCAGTACTGTTTCCTAAAAGTATGACTTTTACTTTGGAAAAATAATGAAACATAATAGACTTTAAAAATTTAATAGATACTGACAATAACATGTGCAAAGAGGAGCAAAAGACAAATATCTACAGAGTTGCTGTATATTTCCTAAGAACAGACTCTAGCAGTTACCTTTGCACTTCAATAGTTCCCATGGTTTCATATGCGAAATCACATTTATTGTCAATTTCAATAGCCTTGCTAATAAGTTCCAAACCTTTATCCAGATCTTGCTTCCACTGTAGTTGAAGTAAACTGCAAATGCAAAATGATAAGGTAGATGTGACCATGGCCCAGGTAATAGGAATGTTTAAGTGTATGACTCAATTTCTGCTCAGTGAATTAATAATTTAACTTTCAAGGACAAACAAAAAGCAGTATATAAAATCAGCATCAAATTGTTCTTTTTTTCTCAACTATATTGCTCTTATAGTCTTTGTATCTTTTACCTTATATAAACTTAAGTGAAATTTCTTATCCTACTTTAAGTATACAAGGACAAGAAAAATTTATGTATGTTTTCTATTTTTATATGAGCAACATTTAACAGGATGTTCAGAACTGAAATTAAAACACTTAAAGTGAAAATAGTACAATTACCAATTTTTATATAAAAATGAAGAAACAGCATCTGCAAGTATTAAGAAATTTTATCAATTAATTTCTTTACCTCAGTTTCCTTCTTCAGTGGTCAAAAGAAATCTATTTTATTAGTGTGTAAGAAATTTCGTATCTTATTGGAACAAACAGAACCACAAAAATACATACCCTTTATGAACATATGTTGTGGCATTATCTGGTTCCAAATCAATACATTTATCATACATTTCATCAGCCTTACCAAACTGTTGTTGATCTGTCAATGCCTATGTGAGGAGATACTTCAGTTATATTAAGGTAACTGTCAACCTAAGCAGTTAAAAGCATATTGCTTATTAATTATTAAATTTCAATTCATTTATTCATTCATTACCTAATTATCACATTTGGGAGATACAAACAAATTTTACAACTTAATTAATGGGGTTTTAAGGTGGCATTACTATAAATATGCAAGTTAAACTATCTTCTCTTTATGGCAAGTAGTTAATTATATATAATGGCAGATAAGCTGGCAAACTGTAGAATACAGAAAAATCTCACTGTTAGGGAAAGTTCCAGTATAACATTCTCACAGGTAGACTCATGTCACTCAATGATTTATAATAATACGTCCTAAGGGAATTACTCTAAAGGCAATACCCATTTGGAAGGCTAAGTGAAGGTATATGTGTTAACTGTTATCAGAGTCATTCCATAAAAATTACTGATTCAAAAAACAAGCATCCATAGTCATCCATTTTAAGGCAAATCCCCATGGCTGAAATGGAAAGCGTGATTCTGTGGATACTAGATCATATTCAGATGGTAATTCTTAGAGCTGGCCAGTATCTATGCCCAGGCTGTGAGAATTACAAGAAAAAAGTTACACTATATAACTCACTCTATTTATGTACTAAAGAGGGACAAAAGAACAGAAATTTTAGTGTAAACAGACTGTAATAATGCTAATGCTGAAGACAGCTCATATAAACCAAACCTATCTTGCAAGCAGAACAGTGATAGGGAAATGTACGATTGAGTAAGCTCTGCACAAGAATTATTCCTGTTTTCTTTCTTTTTTTTTTTATTGTTGAGATTCATTGAGGGTACATAGAAGCAGGTTACATTGATTGCTTTCATTAGATAAGAACCCTCTTATTTTTGAGTCCTGCCCCCAAAAGATGAGCCCTGTCCCCTGACCCCCTAGTACTGTTTTCTTTAACAGGGGACTTTGCTCTCTTAGGTGCTTACAGAAATCTGTACCAAAAAAACACTTCCATCATTCCATGGCAATGATGACAATGGTACTATCACTTTCTGATTTTTTATTAAGTATAAAACACAAACTCAAGTATACTTATTCACTACTAACATCGTATGATTAAAATGTGCGTTGTTTTAACTTTTATACTTTCTATAAAATCTCATACAGTGCATACTTTTATAATTAATTAGAGTGTATAGAAGCAACCAATGTCTTATTTTTTATTAACGACAGCCTGTCTAGGAATTGTAGAGGACAAAGACTGAATAGATAAAATTACTTCAAACTGAGGCTAGTGAATTCCTGGGTTATGCTTCATATACTAGAATTTCAATCCCAAATGATGTTGTGATATTCAAAGACTTACCTTTAAAAAATAGATCCAACAAAAATCATTATTCTCAAGGTTCCTTCCTCAATAAACCCTCAAAATCCTTGTGAAATTTTTTATAATCTAAAGATAGCATGAAAGTATCAAAAATAAAATAAGCAACCTTATGAATGGTTTAGAGAGAGGAGTGGTAATTTTTTTTTTTTTAGTTTTTGGCCAGGGCCAGGTTTGAACCTGCCACCTCTAGTATATGGGACCAGCGCCCTACTCCTTTGAGCCACAGGCGCTGCCCAGGAGTGGTAATTTTTTTTAAGTGATTTCTGTTTCTGTGATTTTGTGGGGGCAAAACCCCAACATTTCTTTTGCAATAGAAAGATAAAACAGAAAAAATATCTAAGTATAGAAATCACTGGTTTATGTAGATACCAAAAGTAGCTTTCAACTTAAAGGCTAAGAGAAAACATAGTCATTTAGAGATCATTTCTATAAAAGGAAGAAGTATACCTGTGGCTATAGTTATTTTCATATAAATGGATGATTTAAAATTAGTTAAGTTTTCAAGAATTTCAGACTAGAATCAAAAAGTTAAAATAATTCAAATTTAAATGCTACTTCCATAGTTTCATTTCCAAACCAAGAAAGCTTACAGAATTGTACACAAAGCACAGGGAAATAAAATAAGCTGTTGAAGCCTACCTAATCATTTAAAACAGCGGTTCTCAACCTGTGGCCGCGGCATCAGGAAGGTCGAGAACCACTGATTTAAAAAGGATAGTGACATCCTCCTCACCAAATTGCATACAGTAAATTTCTCCAGAGTAATTACTTTTTGTAAAACCAATCCAAATGAACACATGAGGGAAATTCTCTCCTTAAGCTTCACCACATTACGAATTTAGGGGAAGGGTTACAAATTATGTAATAAAGGAACCTCTGCTAAAGTGATTCAGAAGCATCCTCGGGACCATGAAAATCAAAAGCAGGAACAAAACCACTTGTTTCCACAGAAGCTGCAACCAGGGTAGCACTGTTTTCTGATTTCCTTACTGAGATTCAGCATATAAATGTAGTTCTTCTTAAAAAAAAAAAAAAAAAAAAACAACTGAGAAATCACACTTACCTGGGCATATAGTGCATAACCTTCAGCGCACCTTGGAAACTTCTTTATGACCTCTTCAAAACCTTTAATAGCTGATTGGATTTGTGAAGAATTGTTTCCTGTATATGCCTGGCGATACTATTTAGAAAAATAAAAATGGGCCTGCTAACATATTATTAAAAACACACAAAATTACAAGAATATTTCCAGAAAAGCAGATTTGTTAACATAATTTGCTGCATCCAAAATGATTCCAAGGAAGTATCTCCTCAGCAGCAATCCAAAGAGTAGATACAATTAGGACTTCATGGCCACTAAATGATTTCAAGATGTCTGATACTTTAGAAAAGCATCAACTACCCTCTAAGAAGTTGCATATAAGTGGGGGAATTTTAAATCTAATGCAATTTTTATCACTTTTTCATCTACAATATAGATGTGGTTATGTTAGTGATCTAATTTCTTTCTTTAAAAGGAAAATTCTTTTAGGACTCCAGCTCTGGCCTAATTCGAAGTACCTCACTTTAACCAGAAATGGACTTTTCTTTCTTTTTTTTTTAACCTTTTAAGTTTTGTGTTTTTTTAATATTAAGAAATAGCTCCAGAAAGCAGTTACCATGGTGTCATGATTGCAGAATATCTCCTCAGAATGTTTTTGCTCTTTATACCAGTTTATGGTAGAGAAACAAGAAGACCACCTCTGTTTAGAGGAGCATAGAATCAGGGACAAACATCTTCAAGATGAAATCAAACAAACATACAGAGAAAAACCGGAGTATATCAATCAGCATATAAGCTTACTAACATTTTTCCTTCCTCTAGTCCTTTGTGGGGAAAAGTATCTATCTTTGTAGACAAGGAGATACTCATCCTTGTGGACACTGGCAAATGAGAGTGATGTCTAAGAAAATACAAAAGAAAGCAGTACCTACCAAGGCAAAACATTTCTGAGCTTGTGCCAGAGCAGACTCAGGTCTTAACCTAATACATTCATCAAAATCTGCCACTGCTTCTTCAACTTGATCAAGCAGTATTTTCAGCTAAGAAAAAAATACATAAATAAATACAATTCAAAATATTGCACCAGTTAAGTATGTGTTGTGCCTCTTCTTTATTATCACGCTCAGCATAATGTCAGCATGTAGTACTCAATAGAGAACTACTTTATAGAAATAGTGAACTACAAAGTCTGTAATTTTAAAGGAAAGATTCTAAAACTTAGTCTCTAATTTTTCAAAAAGGACTATAAGCCCACAATTTCTGCACTGCAATTTTGATCACTACTGGGCATGAAACGCCTTCTTCCAGAAAACTAAACACCTCTGTGCTTTCTAATTTCAAAGCAGGTTAGATACCAGATGATGACCTTTCAAATTAATCTTAAGACACTGCCAGTAAGGATCAAAATGTCAAGAATTTTAAGAGGTTACTGCAACATTTTTTAACACAGTTCAGAAAGAAATAGTCATGGACTGCATAACTACATATATGTTACATATATGTAGTGCTCTTATGATATTTTTCCTGTTTCAATATGTTCATATATACAAATACCACTGTGTTACAAATGCCGCAGTGTTCAGTCCAGTAACATGCTATATGGGTTTGTAGCCTGGGAGCAATAGACTATACCATATAGTTTAGGTGTGTATATAGGCTATACCACCTAGAATTATGTAAGTAAACTCTATGATATTTGCACAATAAAATGCTTAAAAATTTATTTCTTTAATCCTCCAACCTTGGCCTCCCAGAGTGCTAGGATTACAGGTATGAGCCACTGTGCGCCTGGTCCTAAAAAATGCATTTCTTAGGATACGTTACCATATTAGTTAAAATTCTCCCTCAGAAAAAACTTAGTTTTTCTGTTACTATAATGGATAGCCCATACTTTTTACCATAATACTTTCTAAGAAGCCATGGTAAACAGATTATAAAGCTATGTTTTCCTCACGTGAGGCTGTAATTGAGAACTGTGTTCTTCACTATATATGTTTACTAAAAAACTAATATGCCTGTTACAAAATTCCAAGAGCTATTTTTGTACTATTTAAGCAGTTCAAGCTATCTCCCTATAGCAAGAAGCCCAGAGAAATCATCCTGTTGATTCTAGCGTTAACTCAAAATACTTACTAAACGTTATTAATGTTTTACTCATTGAAAATCTATGAACACATGAAAAACAAACTAGAATTGGCAAGCCAACATTGTTTGCCTTCCTTTTTTCTTAAATAAAGACACAAACTATAAAGACAAATGTTCAAGACAGAACTAAATGAAGGCCCATCCACACGTAACCCAGTGATACCGTGTTCACAACTATCAGAAAGGATGTAAGAACTCTCAAAAGTGGTATCAAGTGGCTCTGTCTGAAGCCCAGAGACTAGGTGAAGAAACAGCTTTACCTGTCCTCGATGGTGATAAACATCTGCATTCTGAGGATCGATGTCAGCAGCCATGTTAAAGTCCTGAGTGGACAGCAAGGGCTGCTGCTGCTGCATGTACATGCTGCCTCTTTTGATGAGGGCATTTGCTCGAAGCTATAGACCAAAAATGAGAAAAGGTTCATTCATTTTTTCAGTGTTTTACAATAATTCAGTTTTTTAAAATAATTGCTTCCTGATATAATCCACATACCATAAAGATTGACCTTTTAAAGTATGTATGTTGGCCATTTTTAGTATATTCACTTCAATTTGTGCATTGATCACCTCTATCTAATTAAAGAACAGTTTCATAACCCGCAAAAGAAACCCCATACATTCAAACCGCCACCCCCATTCCCACCTCTTCCTCCCTCCTGTCCAGTCCCTAGAAACCACCAATCTACTTTCTATTTCTGTGGATATTCTAGATGTTTCATAAAAATGGAGTCATACATTATATGACCTTTCGTGTCCAGCTTCTTTCGCTTACTATAATGTTTTCAAGGTTCCTCTATTTCATAGCATGAATAAATACTTCATTCTTTTTAATGGCAGAATAATATTCCATTGCATATATATCACATCTAATTCATGCATTCATCAGTTGATGAGCACTTTGTTTGCTTCCCCTTTTTGGCTATCATAAATAATACTGCTATGAACATTCATGTACAAGTCTGTGTTACCAAATGTGTACTCAATTCTCTTGGGTAGATATGCGGAAGTATTGCTGGATCATATGGTAACTCTACATTTAACATTTTCAGGAACTGCCAAACTAATTTCCAAAGGTGCTTTATCATTTTACATTCTTACCAGTGATGTATGAGGGTTTCAATTTCTCCACATCCTGAAAAAACGCTCATTTAGTGTCCATGTGTTTGATTTATAGCCATCCTAGTGGGTGTAATAACTCACTATGGTTTTGATTTGCATTGACCTGATGGCTAATGATACTGAGTGCCTTTTCATGTTATTATAAGTCACTTGTATATATCCTATCAAGAAATGTCTATTCAGATCCTTTGCCCATTTTTAAACAGTTTGTCTTTTTATTGTGGAGTCTAAGAGTTCTTTATTCTAGATACAATCCCCTTATCAAATAAATAATTGTGAATTTTTTATCCACAAATTTTAATTTTTATTCACAATTTTTAATCACAAATTACTTTGTATGATGTGTCTCTTTTTTTTGTCAAGATACAGTCTCACTCTGTTGCCCAGGCTGGAGTACAGTGACACAATCATAGCTCTCTATAGCTTCAACTCCTGGGCTCAAGTGATCCTTCCACCTCAGCCTCCTGACTAGCTGGGACTATAGGCAAGGCCACCATGCCAGGCTGCATTTTTTCTTGTAATTATTTTTTGTAGAAACAGGTTCTTACTATATTGCAGATTGTGTTTTCTCTTTCTTTATGGAGTCCTTCCACGAACAAAAGTTTTTAATTTTGATGAAATCTAATTTATCTTTTCTAGAGGTGCTATTTATACTTTTGGTATCATATCTAAGAAACCACTGCTTACCCAAAGTAATGAACATTTATTTACCCCTCTGTTCTCTTCTAAGAATTTTATTGTTTCAGCACTTACATTTCGGTTTCTGACCCATTCTGAGTTAATTTCTGTACATGGCTTATAGTAGACATCTTTACTACTTGCTATTAAAAGTCATAATCATGAAAACAAATAGATTTCTTCTTTAAAATTTTGTTCAAAGCAATATTACATATATATGAAACAAATAACACCCTCTATAATTACAACAAAAACACAACAGCAGAATGTAATGGTTACAATCATCAGGAAAATCAGTAGAAAATAACATTAGACATAGTACTATAAAGGTATTTTTGATTTGAAAATCTCATTTTGAAAGGAAATGTCAACAAATACTTAGGCCTTAAAGACTATTTTTATATCCCCTCAAATATAGAAATGATTCATCTTGAGGTGAAAGAAGCTACAGAATTCATATAATGAAGTAGTAGGCCACAGAGGTATTCATACACTAATAAGGAATACAGTTAATTGGTGACTAAGTTCCATCTTGTTAAAATGAGTAGAAGGTTCTCATAATTTATTAGATGCCTCTAAAATCTAATTTTGAAAATTATTACATACAAATTAAGAACATATGGAAAATAAAAAGCTGTTCCAACCATGTAACTCCAAAACCTTTGGCATATAGTAACACCTCCATGCCTGACCTAATCTTCATAGACTGGACTTGCACCACATGTACATATCAATAAGGTGGCCTAATTCCTTATGCTGACTGCTTCTGTATGTTGACCAGTTTGTTATATTCCCTTGGTCAACTTACAAAGGTTCTACTGTATTTATAAACCTTGTTTTTAGAACCTGTTTTTACTTTTTCACATATTTCTGAATATATTATTATATATATTTATTTTTATTAAAATAACAGATTTAACAGATTAGCTTTATCTATGCCCATATGTAGTCCAATACGATAGGCAGTAACTACAAGGGTAAGCTGAAACTACCAGATGCTATAGGACAAAACATTTCCTTTGTCAGCTAAACATAAATATCACTGATATTTGTGTTTCAGATTTGTGTACAACTAAATCATCATTAGGTGTACTTCTTTCTCACCCCCAGGCCCCAAAAAGCCTTTTGGAGAACAGCAATTGAAATGCTAAAAATTTTGGCAAAACACACCTCAAAGCATCACTTATTTTTACTAATTTTTTCACATGTGCCCACACTCACACACATTTTAAAATGTACCTTCACATTAGCTTCTTTCAAACCGATGACCTTATCTAAATCTGGTTTGGCCGCATTGGCGTTGCCAATAAGCAGGTAGAAGGTGGCTCGTAGTAATAATGCTTCTGCCATGTATTTGCCCTGAGCATCTATTTCTTTTGAGCATTCACTTATGATTTTATCATAGTTTTCTTCTTCCATATACTGTTTGGCCTTTAAATATCCAGAACTGAAAATAAAAACAAAGGAAATTATTTACTATGAAAGTATCAAATGTTAAAACTTGACACATTTAGCACACCCAAGTTAAGCAATTGTCTAGTTCCCATTAACAAGTGAATCAGCCAGTGAGGGACTGGGGTTGGAGATAAAAGTTAAAGAGATCAGGACGTTTGATGCAGACTGGGATCTTCTTCATGTCTTGGATAAAGTTTTAAAAAGAACAGCAGAGTCAATGACAGAAACTTGGGGCCAGTGCCTAGGCTTAGAGATGAGCTAAAGAAAGAGACAGACTGCTCTGCAATACAGTTAAGGATTCCATCTTATTCACCTAACTGTCTGTGACACATTGATAGCATTCAACAGCTATTTCATAACTAACAGAAGGAACAGAAAAACAGGAAACAGTCAAGTGAGCTTAGAGTTATGGAAGCCAAGGGAAGAAGTGTGATCAGAGCGGTGCTTGGGAAGATCACTCTGGCTTGTCCTGTGGAGAATGGACTGAGCTGGGGCACTATCTGAAGGACTCTCATACAGAAAATTTACTACTTCATCTAAAAGAACATAATTAGAATAAGTGGACTTATCAAAAAGGAAAATTTAAAGGAAGACCCTTCCATCAAATAGCACTTTGAAAAATACCCTCATATTTTTTTAACCCTTCTCTATTTTTTATGATGCTATGAGCACAGTATCAATTCATATTCTTCTAGAATGTAACTTTAGTTACTAGGGATGTGTGTACTATGTAGAAGGGATTTTTTGAGCTAAAAAGAAGTTCACACTAGATGACATTTGAAGTATCTTTCAAATATAATGCATTATAAAGTAGATTATCTCATTTGTTATTATATTCTGTATAGAGAAAATAGGTGACTTAAAAGTTATGTCATTCAAATTCTTATAAACTCTGCAGTAACCATTCCCATAATTACTTTCTAATGTTCCCTATACTCTGGTTTTGTTCCTTAGGACACCAGGCTAAGAAAATACAAATAATCATTAAATCAGATCAAAAGTAATAAGTTCTTATTGGGAATGTAAGTTCTAGGTATTTATAAATGTGATTTGTAAAGCTCACAATAATCCTTTATGAGGTATTATTAGCCCCATTTAAAAGATGATGAAGCTGAGGGAAATGGTAAGGGGCTTGGTAAGTTCCCACCTAAGGGGTATAATGTATAGGTAAATCGCACACTTCCTGGGGTCACAACTACAACTCAGACTTTACCTTACAAATGCAACCAATGTAACCTATCAAATGTACCCTCATGTTAATCTGAAATTAAAAAAAAAAAAAACGATGAAGCTAAGGCTTAGAGCAAAATAGAATTTAAAAACTTGGGTCCAAATCTAGTTAGTTTTCTGATGAGTGCCAGCTATGCCCTGCCATTTCTTAATACAGCTTTTAGAATAATGGTATTAAGTTTGCTGTAGTTTTTCTGTGACAAGGACTATTTCCTGGCCAGAACAGGAATTAGTTAAACCACTGTCATAAAAGCTATACAACATCTTGAACATTTACTTTCCAGCTATAATTTTCTGAAAGAGTATATATCAATTAAAATTTATACAACTTGGTCCAATTATGCACAGTACCTTCTTTTAAAAGGTGGCCAACAATGGTAGAAAAATCGGGAGATAAAGATCAAAAGCAATCTGTTCCCTCAAACCTTCCAATATGCTACAGATTCAAAACCTAGTTATGTTTTGCTACTAGAACAAAATTTCCTTTTCTTCCAAACTCATTTAAAAAAATATGTTTGCGGTGTTCGCAGTCGGTGTTGCGCCGCTGTAGCTGTCTAACGCCAGCACCGCCTCTAGCTCGCTGAGCTCCAGCCCAAGAAGGGGGAAGTAAGGAGGTCTTTATACCATGGCTCGTACAAAGCAGACTGCCCGCAAATCCACCGGCGGTTAAGCACACAGGAAGCAACTGGCTACAAAAGCCGCTCGTAAGAGTGCGCCCTCTACTGGAGGGGTGAAGAAACCTCATCGGCTCCAGGCCTGGTGCTGTGGCACTCCGTGAAATAAGACGTTATCAAAAGTCCACTGAACTTCTGATTCGCAAACTTCCTTTCCAGCATCTGATGTGAGAAATTGCTCAGGACTTTAAGACAGATCTGCGCTTCCAGAGCGCAGCTATTGGTGCTTTGCAGGAGGCAAGTGAGGCCTACCTGGTTGGCCTTTTTGAAGACACCAACCTGCGTGCTATCCATGCCAAACGTGTAACAATTATGCCAAAAGACATCCAGCTAGCACGCCACATATGTGGAGTACGATGGGAAAACATTTCACTATCCAAAAAAAAAAAACAACAAAAAAAACTCTTCTTCCTATCTTCCTATTATAGGTAGTTCTGGAACGTTAGATTTTTTGTTTCCCCCCCATGGGGTCAAAAGATACTTAAGTATATGATTGCGACTGGAAAAATAGGGGACAGAAATCAGGTTTTGGCAGTTTTTCCATTTTCATTTGTGTGTGAATTTTTAATATAAAATGCAGGATGTGCAGCATTAAAGCAAGTCAAAATGTTTCAGTGAACAAGTTTCAGCAGTTCAACTTTATAACAATTATAAATAAACCTGTTAAATTTTTCTGGACAATGCCAGCATTTGGATTTTTTTAAAACAAGTAAATGTTTTCTAGACGGCCAAAAAAAAAAAAAAAAAAGTTGGCAATAATGCTATACCTTTTCTTAGAGAAGAGAGCTAATCTTAACAGCAAAGAGACATACTGTTGGATAAGCAGGCAAAATGGCTTATATATGATATTACATCATTAGATGTCCAGCTATAAACATAGTATCTTGTACTGTGGCGTCAGCTCTCTATCAAACACAAGAAGCCCACAGAATACCAGCAGGAAAAAACCTTGAAGAAATTTACTCTTTGGGTATTCCTAAGCATCTCACAGTTTATAATTAAAAACTTTCCTACACTAAAACATCTGTATGTTGAGCTACATAACAAAAGTCAAGTTAGTGCCTCTGTTCAAATACAGTCAACCATTTAACCCAAGGAAAGTCTTAGAGAATCACAAAGGATTGTACAAGTAAGGAAGACTTCTAGTAGTAAAACCTGAATCCCCAGAAAATAGATGCATGCTAAAAAGATAAGTATGTTTATTATAATTGACTATAATATAATTTTTATATGTATATCTCTATCTGTACATAGAGAGCTGTTTTTTTGAGATGACTCAGAATCCATGTGGGCTCTGCCAAGTTCATGGCAGCAAAAAACCATTAAGCAGACACCACGCCTGACATACTTACTTCTCTTTTACTTCTAAAGCCTCTCCTTCTTTGTCTTTATCTTCATCAGATTTCTCTCCTTTAAGCATGGGCTGAGAAATGATATCATCAGTGAAAGAACTGAAGTAAGATTTGATAAACTGTGGAGACGGCATCAGAGGTTCACGATTCTAAAATTTAATCAAATTTAAATATAACAGAATGAGAATATGCTAATCGAAGAAGCAGGTACATCGTAGAATACCAAGAATGACTGTTATAAAAATTGGAATCTCATTTTCAAATAACTAAAGAACATTAAGTTCCAGTCCACAAGACAAAACACAGCAGAAACAATAAAGCTGCCAGTTTCAGCTGTTCAAAGTAGGTTTTTTTGTTTGTTTGTATTTTTCTTGAGACAGAGTCTTACTTTGTCACCCTAGGTAGAGTGCCATGGCATTATAGTTCACAGCAACCTCAAACTCTTGGGCTCAAGTGATTCTCTTGCCTTATCCTTCCAAGTAGCTGGAACTACAAGTGCCCACCAGAACACCCAGCTATTTTTAGAGACAAGGTCTTGCTCTGGCTCAGACTGGTCTTGAACCTGTGAGCTCAGGCTTGGCCTCCCCGAGTTCTGGGATTACAGGCGTGATCCACTACACCCGGCCAAAGCGGTTTTTAAATGAGAGCCTTTTCCATCTCCAATGATGTAAGACCATGCCTTTCTTATACAGGCTCTGTTAAAATGAACCTGTGTAAGAAAATGTTAAATCCATTTACCATGGACTTTCCTCTAAACATCTTCATTACAGTGCCATCAAAAGTCATGCTGAAATCACATGGCCTGCTTTGATTATTTCTTATTTGGTATGGCAACCTGATTTCATAATTATAGGAGTATTCTGTTTCTCCTAAATGAAGAGGCTATGTTATTTCCTCTTTGCTTATCATAACAAATAGGCTTAAGTCCATTAATTAAGAATATGACATAAACGTGCTAGTTCTGCCACTTTACAGCTCTGTGGCATCACTCACATCAGCAAACCTCTCCTCTTGCTTTTCTCATCTCTACAATGGCAACAGAAATATCTGTCCTGTTTTATAGGGTTGTTATAAAAACCAAAACAATACTATGAAAAGCACAGTACTTTGTGATTTACAAAGTGGCACACAAACAGATTAGAAAATACACTTGGAAACTGAGCTGTGACATAGGCCAATATAGGTTATTTTACATTTTCTTACCACCTTGTAACCCAACCAGTCTAATTACTCAACAATGTGTACAGGAAAATTAGGTTCCTTCCAGGCTCTGATATGATCTTTCACAAATTATTTTTGGGGAACACCAATCTTATGAGATACTCAATGGAAAAAAAAAAAAGCCACAGCTTAAAGAGACTAAGAACCAACTGCAGCAACATCAGTCTTAGAGATTCACGACACATCTTAGCACATGAAAGTCCCACAGAAAACTGTTTTAACTGTTTAACTCAGCTACTATTCACAAATGTAAAATTAAAAATATGTACAGATTAAAATCAATTTCAGGGAAAATGAAGATAAACAAGAAAAATTGCTTCAACATTATTGAAATTTAGCAGTCAATCTTCAGTAATGTTCAGTGATGCCGGTGGTACTCTCATGCCACGCTACTTATCTATCTCCTGGAACACTTAACCGTATCATGCCTTTTATATACTTTGTAACATTCTCTGCCACTAAATTGTAATTCCATATGGGCAAAAACCATGTATTTGTGTCACTCCTCCAAAATACCCAGTATTGGAGCTTTGTTTATTAAATGTTTGTTGAATTAAACTATTACTACCAGCTTAAAACCTAAAATTAAGGCCTATTACACGGTACACCTTTAAAACTTTAATGATACAGAATAAGAGTTGGCAAATATTTTTCTGTAAAAGAACAGATGGTAAATATTTTAGGCTTTGCAGCCTACACAGTCTATTACAACCACTCAACTCTAATGCTATAGCTCAAAGCAACCAGAAACAATGTGAGTGACTGAACATTATTAATAAAACAGGTAGCAGACTGGATCTGGCCTGTGGGCCACAGTGTGGCAACTCCTAATATTTTCCAGGTACAGTACTGAACAGAGCTTATAATCTTATTGAAAAAGGATAAGTCATAAAGGCCTAAGATTAAAGAAAAAAAATACATAGCCCAGTTCTAATTTCAGCTGTTACCATTACTACTATGTCCAAGTTTAAGCAGCGTAAATTAGAAATGGCCCTTCACAATGTACAAAGTACTATCCCTCTATTACCCAACTCAGATTCATTTACCTTGTATTTTTCTTTGGCTTTCTCTTTTCCAAGAAGTTTAAGAACTTTATCAGCTAATAGCATGCTTTGTTGGTTTTGGAACCCTTCTAATATACACACAGCAGTGACATCTAGAAATGATGGCAAACACAAGAGTAAATATGAAATTGTTGTAAAGATGGTCAGTAGCATCAAATGGGCACAATGTAACTACAGAAAGCTAAAATAAATTCATGGCCTGCAGGGACTGTTTCATTTAATAAACTGGCTTCCTTTTTTTTGGCAGCGGTGGTTATTGCTGTTGCCTGGATGAGAGTGCAATAGCATCATCACAGCTCACTGCAACCTCAAACTCATGGGCTCAGGTGATACTCCTGCCTCAGGCTCCTGGTAGCTGGGACTACAAGTGTGCACTACCACACTTGGCTAATTTTCCTAATATTTTTGTAGAGATAGGGTCTCACTCTTGCTCAAGCTGGTCTTGAACTCCTGAGCTTAAGCAATCCTGCCCCCTGGGCCTCCCAAAGTGCTAGGATTACAGGTGTGAACCACTGTGCCCAGCCCTAAACTGGTTATTTTATGTACTACGTGACCAAACTGAAAGCTCAAAGTTACCCTGCTTCCATGGGTTCCCTTTCCTCACCTGTGAAATGAAAAGGGCTATACTGCATGCTTTCTGATGTTTCTCACTCCCCTAACATTCTATATATACCAAATAAAGCAAGAAATCTAGGCATATTCTCTTCTAAGAGTAAATCTTAAGGCAAAAACAAAAACCACAGTGTGGCTTTCTCATGTCTGGTCTTTTTTATAGGCCTCAGAATTACTCCTTGTCTCTAAAGCCATCTTACTACACAATTCTGAAATAAATCTGCCTTAAAATAACCTTTTCATCTGGAAATGCTGGATAAGGTGATTTGAAACAGTTACATACTAATTAATGTGTGTGTGGGGGGGAGGGGGAGGTCAGGGAATGTTTGTTTTTGAATGTCCCTAACCCGCCCTCCATTGGTATGCAACTGTGTTAAAAAAAAAAAAAAAAAAACAAGGGGTCCTTAAACTCCTTTTTTTTTTTTTTTTGAGACAGAGCCTCAAGCTATCCCCCTGGGTAGAGTGCCATGGCATCACAGCTCACAGCAACCTCCAACTCCTGGGCTCAAGCGAGTCTCCTGCCTCAGCCTCCCAAGTAGCTGGGACTACAGGCACCCACCACAATGCCCGGCCATTTTTTTTTGGTTGCAGCCATCATGGTGTTTGGCGGGCCCAGGCTGGGGATTCGAACCCGCCACCTTAGGTGTATGTGGCTGGCGCCTTAGCGGCTTGAGCCACAGGCGCCGAGCCTCTTTAACTTCTCAATCTTATATTCAATGTAGTCAGACAATGGCTATCCCCTTTCTCTTTCTAAACTCAATTTCTCACAATTCCACATCACTGCTCCTCCAAACAAGCTAATTTGCTGTTACATTTCCCTGATAAACCAGGCTAGTGTCAATGTCTTTTTCTCTCTTGTTTCTTCTATCTAAATTCCAATCAATCTTCTCTCTACTTAGTATTAATATGTTACTAACTTCAAAGTCTGGCTCAAAACTCAGATTCTATAAAGCAACTCTTCTCCCATCCTCTACCAAAGTATGTGCTACCATGAAACATCAAATTTCGTTAAAACGCTCTCTAAACATCCTCATATAGAGATCTAAAATTTTTTAAAGGTTTTTCCTTTTAAAATATAATTTTTAAAAAACAACAATAATTATGGGCAAATCTAAGTATTGATGCTTTTAAAGCAGATTTAAATATGCAGCTGAAAGAATTTTTAGACTGTAGAAATTACATTTTGATTTCACTCCATGTCATCTAGAAGAATGTACTTTATCAGCCAGTGGTGGCCAGGCACAGTGACTCACACCTGTAATCCTAGTACTTTGGGAGGCAGAGGGACCAGGGGGAAAAAAAAAGTTTAAAAATTAGCTGGGTGTAATGGCATGTGCCTATAGTCCTAGCTACTGGGGGAGGATGAATCAGGAAGATCAGCTGAGCCCAGGAGTTCAAAGTTGCAGTGAGCTATGACTGTACCCCTGTTCTCCAGCCTGGGGGACACACTGAGATCCTATCCCTAAAGAAAAAAAAAAGAGAGAGAGCGAGTTTCATATATATTTACCAATGACTACAAAGACTTTAGTAATTGTCTTAAGTAAACACAAAATCACCCTTACCTTCTAAGCATTCCTTCTTATTGTCTAGCTTCTCATGGGCCTTTGCACGTCTAAAGAGAGCTTTCACATATTTGGGATTAAGTTCAACAGCCTTTGTACAATCTTGTGCCACCTCTTTCCATTTTTGCTGAAATTAAAAGTATTAAAACAAAGTCACACTAGAAAAAGCATTAAGAGAAATTAGTTTTCTAAATTTAACAGCCTAAGTATTAAGAGTCCAACAGAAAAATTATTTCTAATAAGAAGAAATAATTCATACACTGCAAAGCTCTTTAAAAACAGGCAATAACATAATTAGGCCATCTCTCTACCATAAATCTACCCAGAGCTATGTACCCATACCATCATCTTCTTCCCTTTGGTTAAAACTGGAAAAGGACCCATTTTCATCCAAGGCCAACCCTCCTCTGGTATCTGGATCCATACCCTCTCCACATCATGGACTTCACTACTTCAGATTATCCGTCTCTGCATCAATCTGCGGCCTCTCTACTGAATCATTCACATAAATATAAAAATACTTGCTTTGATATTTTCTATCTTTTAAAAATCTTCCTCTGATTTGATAACTCTCTATAGCTACCAGCCTACTTCTCAGTTCCTCTTTATTGCCAAACCTTCAAAGACTTACCACTCTTTTTGACTTTTACCTACTTTACTGGATGCTCCCTGTCAATTTCCTTTGCTAATTTTCCCCCCTCTACTTGGACTCTACATACTAAAATTCTCAAGGCCTGATATCTTCCCTCTCCCTAGGTGATCACATCTATTTTCTGGCTTTTATGTAATATCCAAAATTAGCTGACTCCTAAATTTATCTTTTTAACCCAGACTTCTCCTAAAATACAGACATTTCTCAATTCAACTGTCCACTTACTTGTCTCACTCCTTTCCCACCCGACCTTCTCCACACAGTGAAATTCCTGCTTCTCTTCAGCCTTCACATCCAATGCAAAAACAAGTTGTGTAGGGCTTCCTCTTTCCTTCATGTCTAACCTAGGCTACTGCAACAACATCCTTACTTGGTCCCATCTCCAGTCTCGCTTCCCTCATATATATATATATACATATATACACACACATTTTTTTCCTGTTTTTAGTAGAGATGAGTCCTTGCTTTGCTCAGGATGGTCACAAACTCTTGAACTCAAGTAATCTACCCACTTTGGCCTCCCAGAGTGCTAGGATTACAGGCATGAGCCACTGTGCCCTGTCCCTCCAATATATTCTTGACAGTGAGAGCAATCCTAGATGATGTTCCTGCCCTGCTTAAAATGCTTAAAAATGTATCATTACACTCAGAATCAAATCCAAAACTCCACCATAATTCTACAAGGCTTTGCCTGATCTGGTCCCTGTTTATCTTTCCAATCTCACCTCTCTATATTCCAGGGACGTCGATATTTCTTAAACACACCAAACCCTTTCTTGCCTTAGAGCAATAACATAGCTTCCTCTATTTGTAATATTCTATTCTTCATTGTTCTATGCATTAATCCACTACATAACCATACAAAGGCTACATACAGACTTAAAAAAATGAAACAGATCCATATATATGCTGCTATGAAAAGCTGTTCTAAATATGGCAGCAACTGAAAAACTATGTCACAAACAATATGTATAATAGGAACTCAACTTTGGTCGTTTTCCCTCTGCATATGCAATTATTACTTATATAGAAGAAAAAATGTTGAAGAAATAGCCTCAAACTGTTGTGGAGGATAGAGTCACCAGAAACTTGAATTTTCTATACTGTCTAATTTTTATAAAATCTAAAACATATTTAACTTTAGAGTATATTCATAACCAGCAAAACTAAAATTTGTTCTTAAAGTAAAAACAATAAAAATCCTACAATTTCAAAACAGCTTAAAAATGCATCACATTTGAGTAGCATTAACTGAAACTTAAATAAATAAATAAAAAGAAAAAATAACCTAAGGTACATACCAATTGTTCAAAGGCAGCAGCTCTGTTTTGATAAAATGTAGAAAGGTCAACATTCTTCTCTGTAGGGCACAGACTAATAGCTTCAGTATAGCACTGGATAGCCTGTTCATATTTTCCTGCTTTAAAATATTTATTGCCTTTGTTCTTGGCTGCTTGAGCTCTATCAAGAGAGTTCTAAAATGAGAGGAAACAATTATTAACTGCTAATCAACATTCAGAAATAGACTTAGACCAGCGATTAAATGATGAACTGGTAAAAGAAAAATAGAAGGACAGATGGCTGTTTACAGTTTAAATCACTTCATTATAAACATCTTTATGTGACAGTCTTAGTATAGGATTGCTGAGTCAAAAGGCATATATGTATGTGTGTGTGTGTGTGT